TTGACCCTCTGTGTAAAGGATATGGTGATAATCCCTGAGACATGCTAAGTGTTCCACTAGTCACACTTATCCAAATCATATTGATTACAGCACTTAGATAAGTTCCCTTTTTTGTTTTTGTAAACCACAAGTCAAGAAACATCCTTGAGAACATGTGTGATTATCTCCTTACAATAAACTCCTCAAAGAAAATGTCTGTGTCACAATATAAGCACATTTCATTTGTGGAGACATTTTCAAAAACACTCATTAAAAATTGTATCCCGGGGCGCCTGGGTGGCTCAGTTGGTTAGGCGACTGCCTTTGGCTCAGGTCATGATCCTGGAGTCCCGGGATTGAGTCCCACGTCGGGCTCCCTGCTCAGCAGGGAGTCTGCTTCTCCCTCTGACCTTCCTCTCTCTCATGCTCTCTACCATTCTCTCTCTCTCTCAATAAAAAAAAAAAACAAAAAAACAAAAAAAACTGTATCCCGGTGTTCACTCCCATCAACCTTTATGATGGTGTGTTTCCCCAACCCTCTGATGGACACTCTCATGCCTTACTTTCATCTTTGCCAAATTCATAGATTTATTTTATCATTTTATTCCCGTTACTAATTCCGCATTCTCCTATTTGTTTATGTCTACTTATTACAAATACATTTGTTTGGCATTTCATTTCCTCCTTCCCAAATTGTTTTCTAACATTTTTAATTTTTTTTTCTTTCTTTTTCTTTTTTTATTATTTGAATGCATTTGACACACAATGTTCCATTCCTTTCAGGTGTACAGCATAGTGCTTTGCCATATAATCCAAACAATTCCACTCTTGGGTATTTAACCAAAGAAAATAGAAACACCAATTCTATGATGGTATTTTGAATGTGGTGCAGCTATTTTAAAATGCGGAATTTAACAGAGAAGAGCCAGCAGCCCCCAACATCGAGAGCTGGTCAGACACTGACAGCTGGGCTCAGTGTGGTCAGAAGCTGGCTAATGCCCACCCTTTGGCCATATTCTTCTCCTGTGGGACATAAGCCAGTCACCTCACAGAACATCAGCATCCGACAAGGACACTCTGGAACCATGACATCACTTTGTGTCATTAGAGGCAAAAACAAGGCACTGCACAACCCACAGAATAACACACATCTCCCTGTGTCAGCCAGTGTGAGTAATCGGGGCTCCTTTACCATGACTGCTCTATCCTCGCTCTGGTCTGGCCTGCCTAGAGAGCGGATTCACTGAGATGCTCAACCATGGAATCGCCCACACGTCCTGACAACACGCAGTCGGGAGTGGGCCCCAGCTTCCACAGATCCTCTCCAAAACACTCATCCAAAGGCCATGTCCTTCTAGGTTCCAACACCTTCATATTAGGATGCCCCATGGCCCCCAAAGGGGTGTCTTCTCTCTCACTGCAACAAGTAATAGATCCAACTTGAATGTCCACAGGTGCTCCTGGTGGTCTTGGGCTGCAGTATAATGACTCATGTTACCCTTCTGTCTGTGAAAATTGTTTTTGTGTCTTTTAGTTTGTTCATGACATGTGTTTGTATCTTTGTGAGTGTGTGGTTGACATGCGGATATTTCATGTTTTTCTTGATGGGTTTTTATCATTGGGCCTTTGTTGGAGAATTCTTCATCCCACAATTGTAAACATTTCATGTGTTTTTCCACCTCAGTAGAAATGAAGAGCAGAAGATTTCATGGGTGATAGGAAACAGAATTGTCTGAATTTGGGCAAAAGTATGTGGAGGAACAAGGGATAAAAGATTCTAAGGTGGTGGAATCTAGGATGTACATCTTCTGATTTATGATGTTTACAAGTATGTACAGAGCCTACAAGGTACATGTCATATTCAATATATCCTCTCACCTGGGCTCGGTGAAGACTTATGAGCCTGCTTCTGTTTACCAGGTGAACAAAAATAAGACCCAAGACACCCAAGTAATAGAGACACAATTTGTTCCAGGGATGGGCATTTTTGAACACTCATGACCTAGATGTGATACATCATGTTTTGGTTAATGTCTGTACACTTCCGCGGTTATAATTCATGTCAATTAAACTTTCATGCTGTATTTTAAGGATATGTCTCAGACCCATATAGACAATCGATGACTTCCATTTGAAGATAAATTTAATATACTATACCTATGAGTCACAGTGTCTTCTTTGAGGAGGATCCAGAAAACTAAGAGCGTTCTAGATATGTAATGTTTGAATAGTAGCTATGAGCCACATGTGGCTACTTAAATTCATATTCATTTAAAACAATTCAAAATGCAACTGCTCAGCACACCAGCCCTATTTCAAGTGCCACCTGCCTCTCTAGAACCACATGCATCTTGTGGCCACCATACCGGACAGCGCAGATATAGAACAATTCCTTCCGCACAGAATGTCGTATTGGACGGTACTGCTCTGCGTGCTTTGCGGGCCGCGAGTCAGATGCATCAGACACATGTAAAGTGAAAAGGCCAACATGATTTCTCTTACAGACGACATCAGATTCCATCTGGGATGTGAACACATATGAAGCTGGTGGGTCACAAAATCAAAGTCGCATATGCGTGGGTCTGGTGCCTTCGGGTGCAAACTGTTCCCAATTACAAAAGGGAAACCCCTGTCCCCCCACCTCCCTTCCCAGACGGGGGACCCTCTCCGCCATCACATTTCCAGGAGGTGGGTTCTCTTCTAGCTGCACTCAGGGGCTAAAGTCAGAGCTGAGTTTTCAGAGGCAGGAAGTGCAGCTCAGGGAAAGGAATTCTGCTGAGTGAGGAGAGGCCAGGGCAGGACCAGCTGGGAGACTCTCCCAGGGTTATCAGAACAGCCGTTCTCAAAGTGTGGTCTGGGGAACACCTGACGTCACTGAGGCCCTTTCACAGAGTCCATGAGGTTAAATCTATTTTCCTAACATTACTTAGACATTATTTACCTTTTTGCCATGTTGACGTTCACACTGAGGTAAAACTTAGCAAGAACGGAGGTGATGGATGCAAACTGCAATAGCTGTCATTCTTCACCACTACTTACTCACATAAAAAACCAGAAACACTCTTTCCGCCATTTTTCCGTGCCGCCATATGGTCACATGAATATCTTGGCGGGTGCTCTCAAGAGCAGTAACAATGCCTGAGAGAGAAGCGAAAGGCAGGTCCTATTAGCCATGCTCCAAAGTCATCGTCCCGTTTCTAACTGTGAGGACGAAGCTCGGTTACATTGGGGAATTTGAAATCACTGTTGATCACAGAGCTGGGAGCATTGTTGTGAATCTAAGGTCAGGTTAAACACGTGTGGAGTGAGCAGCCCCGGATTTGATGTACAACTCAAAGATCTAGAAAAATAGCAGAGGAATCTGCTCCCGTCCCTCCAGTTTGGTTTCATTGTCCTGACAACCTCAGCTGGCCTCGTGGACCATGGAGAAGCAAGACGAAAACACACAGGAGGGAAAATCCTGGGATTCTTTTTCTAGGGATGTAATACCTACGTGCAAATAAAATGCCTCAAAAACAAAATCAGAACAAAAGAAAACTAGTGTCACTTTCAAATGTCCTGGTTAAAGCATTCACAATTATTATCTTTATCAATCATTCCCAAATCCACATTGTAAACAAGTCATATATGATGATGTGGGATATACAGCACTTCCGCTACATCCATAAGCCCCAAGGAAAATAATCTGTATGAAATTAACTGGCCTCTTTATTCTTCTTTTTTTTTTTTTTTACAAAATGTCATTTTGACCTGAAGACCTGAATGACACAGAAACTTGGAATATTTAGACTAAGAGATTTGGCAGACAGTTTCTGGAAAATGAACAGGAACCTACCCTTTCATGAACATCAACTCACATATGACAGCTGAGAGTACGTGTTGCCTTGATCACATGTAAGCTCTCCAGAGAAAATCAGAATTTTGGAAAACTTGTGATCCACCAAAAAACTCGACAGTTTCTCACTCTTAACAAGCTTTTATGTTGTGATCTATGGTAATATTAAAAAAAATCTGACTTTTTGATAATTCAATTCCAGTCTCATCAACACTGGAAGCCCTATATAACGTAGTAAAACAACACATTACTTTAAAAAAAAGTCCTGCATTAGTACAAGATCCATTCAGTGTGCAAGCTGGGCCTGTGGATTTTAATGTAACAGAGAAGGACATAGTCAATGATACGGGTTCAGGTTCCACTTTGCAAATAACCTTAGAGAAAGTACAACTTGTGTATTTTTAATATAGAACCTAAAATGAATATCCATAATTATCTGAGAAGATTATGAAACATTTTATTCTCCTATATTTGTGCAAGGTTGTTAATTTTTTCGTACACTTCAACCAAAACAACACAATAAATACAGAAAAAACTATGAACATCCAGGGGTATTCTAAGGAGACAGACAAGAAAGAGACCTGCAAAAATGTAAAATGCAACGACATCACTCTTCTCACTATGCTGTTTATTTGAGGAAATAGTTATTTTACATAAAAATAACATTTCTGTTTTCATGCCATGGGTTATTAATGTGATTGTAAATGAATTAATGAATTTTTAACCCTGTTTTATTCCTATTCTGGTAAATACCGAGAGATATAACCCACAGACCCAAAATATCCTTGGGATCCTCACTAATCTATGAGACTGTATAGACATCCTGAGAACACGATGTTTGAGAATCACTGACTCACACAGCTCCTGGGCCACGACTCGGGGAGACAGTGTGACAAAGAGCGCGTCGTGCAGTAGGTGAGGGGTCGGGGCAAAGTCCCAGGTCCCTGGGCCTGCCTCTCAGGGTCTGAGGCCCCAGGGCGGTGTCTGGGGTGGGGAAGCCCAGGGCCGGGGAGTCCCCATCTCCCCGGTTTCACTTCCCGGTCTCACAACCTGTGTCAGGTCCTCCTGCCTGGAGACTCGTGACGCGGCCCCACTTTGGACTCCCATTGGGTGTGGGATTTCTGGAGAAGCCAAGCAGCGGCACCGCTCTTCCTGGTTCTAAAGTGTCCCCACCGGCCGGCGGGCCCCGCGACCGCAACGGTCTCCCCAGACCCCGGAAATGCAGGTCGTGATGCCCCGAACCCTCGTCCTGCTGCTGGCGGGGGCCCTGGCCGTGAGCGAGACCTGGGCGGGTGAGTGCGGTGGCGGGAGGAAAGGGCCTCTGGGCAGCAGGAGCGAGGGGACCGCGGGGCGGGGACGCGGGACCCCTGGGGAAGGCGCCTCTCCGCCGCCCCCGCCCCAGCCCCCTCCCAGCCTCCGCCCTGCTCTCCCGCCGTCGGTGCCCCTCCCCCTGCCCTCCAGGCCGCCTTCCCTGGGTCCTGGCCCCGCACCGGGAGGAGGGTCGGGCGGGGTCTCAGCCCCTCCGCGCCCGCAGGCTCCCACTCCTTGAGGTATTTGTCCACCGCCGTGTCCCGGCCCGGCCGCGGGGAGCCCCGCTTCATCATCGTCGGCTACGTGGACGACACGCAGTTCGTGCGGTTCGACAGCGACTCTGTCAGTCCGAGGATGGAGCCGCGGGCGCCGTGGGTGGAGCGGGAGGGGCCGGAGTACTGGGACCTGGAGACGCGGATCGCCAAGAACAACGCACAGAGTTTCCGAGGGAGCCTGAACACCCTGCGGGGCTACTACAACAACAGCGAGGCCGGTGAGCGACGCGGGCCCGGGTCCCGGTCCCGAACCCCATCCCCACGGAGGGGCCGGGGTCGCCCCGAGTGTCCGGGTCCGAGCGCCACCCCGAGTCTGAGGGAACCCCCGGCCCCGACCCCTGACCCCGACGAACCCGCGGGAACTTTCAGGCGGTTTTACTTTCTGTTTGGACTTAATCCCCTGCCTGTCGGCCGGGGCCAGGGTCTCACACCATCCAGAAAATGTACGGCTGTGACGTGGGCCCCGACGGGAACCTCCTCCGCGGGTACGAGCAGTTCGCCTACGACGGCAGGGATTACATCGCCCTGAACGAGGACCTGCGCTCCTGGACCGCGGCGGACACGGCGGCGCAGATCACCCGGCGCAAGTGGGAGGCGGCCGGTGACGCGGAGCATGACAGGAACTACCTGAAGGACAC